TCTTGCTTGTCCAGCAGGGAATTGGCTGAGGGGGGACCGGAGGTAGGAGCGGTGGAGGTAGTTCAGCCTCTGGAAGAAGTCGATACATCCTCTGGACCCTCGAATCATGAACTCTGTCCAGACCAAGTCTGGTTTTGTTGCATGTCTTTAGTCCAAGTCGGTGGCGAGCGCTGTCTGTGCTTTCCGTGGCCCGAAGTCGAAGCGGATGGTACTCATCTAGTCTTCGGATTCGCGCGGCAGTCTTGAGCCTGCGTTCCTCGAGCAGAATGTGTGCTGGCGGAATACCAGTCTCTCTTCTCAGGGCTGCAATAGGCATCGTGCGCCAGGTTGATAGAGCCATGCGGATTCCGAAGGCAGAAGTTTGGTCAATAACTTTGCACTGTCTCTTACATGAATTTCGCGCGACACCCCGATAGGTTTCCCTGGTTGGCCCCGGGTACCAGGATTCCGCTGCGTGCATCGCGATTGGCAGGACTACCGTGCGGATCACTGTGGTTAGTAGGTCGGGCCTTGGTCCCTGGGTGCACTGAGTGAGCCGTCGGAAGTGTTGCACTAGCCGCATTGCTTTACTGGTCCACTTTGCGACGTGGCTTTCGAAGGTCAGACCGCAATCAAGGTGTACTCCGAGCCATCGGATATCGTCGGATGCTTGTACATCGCGAGTGCCTACCCTTATAGCCGGAAGATCGTGAGCCCTGGATCCGGGGCCGACGAAGTAGACTAATTCGGCCTTATCTGGGTCGAAAGAGACGGCATTATCAGCAGCCCATCCTAGGACTGCATCGACTTCTCTCTGGATAGCTGCTGCGGCATCGTTCGGAGTTGAACCTATGCCGAGGATAGCAACATCATCTGCATAGCCGAATCTTCAACTACTGCCCCCCACGACTTCGGCCATGTAAAGGAGGAAGAGAATCGGGGATAAAGGCGATCCCTGTGGCAGCCCGCACTCTAGGTGAATTGGGTCTGTTACTCCATCCTCGTGTCTGACATGGGCAGATCGTTCTTTCAGGAAAGACTTTATCCAAGTGATGGCTGGTTTCGGCCACCCAACTTTATTCATCCTTTGCAGCAGTCGTCCGTGGAGTACAGCGTCAAATGCACCCTGTACGTCCAGAGTGACAAGAACTGCTTTCTTCTGCCTCTTCATTGCATGCTCCACATCGTGGATGACGCATGAGACAAGGTCGTTAGCGGATCTGCCGGAGAGTGCTCCAAAAAGCTGCTGCGGCACGGCCTTGTACGAGATGGCGGTGTAGGCCATGCGCCTTGCGACTAGTCTCTCAAGACCTTTGCCGAGAGAGGATAGCAGTGCGATGGGCCTCCATCCTTTAGCTGTACTGAGATTACGGCCAGGTTTGGGGAGAAGAATTACTTCCGCTAGCTTGAATGCCTTCGGGAAGTGGTTCAGTCGAAGTGAGCCTTCAAAGAGTACTCTCACTGCTTGTCCTATTGACGGCCAAGCTGTCCTAAGAAGCCGCACAGAAATCATGTCTGCTCCGGGAGCTTTATTCTGGCAGGCCGTTGTGACCCACTTGGCTTCTTCATCAGTGACGCTTGAGGCCCATGGAAGGTTTCCGCATCCTGGCTCGAGGTGTTCGATATCCACGTCGTTTTGGCTGGTGAACCGGCCGAGAAGGAGATCGCGCAATAGAAGTGCACGCTTTCCTGGATCCGAAACAAAACCATCCGGAGTTTGGAGTGGCGGAGCGGCAGATGTAGGTTGCGGCTTTGCCCAGCGTGCCATCCGATACATGTCGATGTCTGTTGTAGCTTCCGAGAACTTTCGCCGCCAGTATTGGCGTTTTGCACTTCTGACTATGCGACGGAAATCCTTTCTACTCTCTTCGTCCCTGAATATCCTATCTTCGCGTTTGGCCTGTGAGCATTCCAACGTCCACCAAGGTGCCGTCCTACCCTTCTTCGAACTCCCGCGTCTTCCGGTAGCCCTGATAGCATCGCTGATGGTTTGAACCAGTTTATCCGCAAGGTTGTCCACCGCACTTGTTGAGACCATAGGCTGCATCCCTATTCCATGGGCTCACCTACCTAGTACCTTGGCGAAGTCTTCGAGGGCGTCGTCTGTCACTCGTACCGGTTGACCAGTTTTGATAACCGCTATGGCTTTCGAGTTCGGGCGGGGAACGTCTCCTGCAAGCGTTCTGTGGTCCGATGTTGAGTCAAGCTCTGTCGAGACATCTGCAAGGGCACCAGCGTTAGACCAGACCAGGTCGAGTGTGTTTCCAAAGTCGTGTGTCGGGACGCCCGGTGTGGAAGATAGGTCCATACCGTGCTCGAACATCCACTCGGTGAGCACCTGGCCGTCACCGTGTAGCCTAGTAGCCATTGGCTGCCAGTCGGTGTGAACAGCATTGAAGTCTCCGCCAATAACTGTAGGCCCAGATGGAGCCCATGATAGCAGCGGCAAAAGGTCTGCTCCAGGAGCGCGGTATACAGAGACGAATGTGACTCCTTCTACCTTTATTGCAGTGAGATCTGGTGATGTCTCGCAGATTGCTTGCTGTTGGCAATGAATCCCTTTTCGCGTGTAGATGAGGGAGCGTGGCCTTGAAGAGTTAGCAGCGACACGGGGAGGCAAATGCCTATCGGATCCGGGATGCGACTTGGTGAGCCAGAAGCCGTCCTTGTGTTTAGTCCAGGGTTCCTGGATGAGTAGGGCATCGGTTCCTGAATCCCAAGCGGATTGCAGGATGATATCCGTAGCCGGGTCTCCTCTGCCCAGATTAGCGCAGAGGAACGAGATTGTTGTTGCCGTTTTTTGAAGCTCGGTTGGGTTGTGGTCCCTTACGGGCATTGAGCTACGTTTATATTTTCGTTTTCAGCAGTAGCCTCGGTGGCTTTCTGCTTTGCTTCCATCTTTCTGATCGAAGCATTCCTTTCTTTTTGACCCTGCTCAATTGAGCCACAGCGGGTGCAGCGCTCTGCTCGTGAACAAATTTTAGTTGGGTGGTGTCCCCAGCATCGGTTGCATTGCGCAATTTTGAGCTTGCGCTGGAGTTCGTGAAGGCGCCCGCTTTCTTCAAACAGTCTTTCTCCAGGCCTCGGTTTTCCTGTTGCGAAGTGCAACACCCAGTCCGTTGACGGCCTGGCCATGCTAGTAGCGAAAGCACGAGCTGAGGTTGGTCTAACTCCTGTTTTGAGAGCTGCTTCTTCTATTACCATCTCTGGTGTCACTATGGTGGGCCCTTCCAGAGTGTAAAGCTTGTCTGGAATATTCGGTGCCAGGACTGATATCCAGTTGGAGGCGGCTTCAAATTTCATTTCATAACTGTCTAAGATGGCTCCTCCTGAGAGAAGTGCACCTCTAGCTCCTTCCCCTTCGGCTTGTATTGCGAACCCTGAGTTCACGACAGACGTTACCTTTTCCTTCTCAGGCCTGCAAGATTTGCACGCTGATAGTAAACCATCATTCTAACCCCTGTTATCATCCCGTGAAAGCTGTCCCCTTGTAGATTCAGGAGATTCGGATCATAGTACCCCCGCGCAAAGTTCGGAATAACTATTGCACAAGCCGCCTCTGTATAGTAGTAGCCTTTATACAGAGAATATACACCATACAGATCACAACAGACCTTTACATACAGATATACATGTACAACAAGGGCCTAGTGATATTGGTATTCAAGACGCACACCCTCTTTTACTACGTTCCCGTGTTATATCACGTGAGACGTAATATCTGCTCACCACAAAGTCCGCAGATTGAACAGCGTTAGATCATAATACCATCTACTGAATTCTCTCCACGCGAAATATAGTCTTGAGCGTCTCCATCCCAAGTGGAGTAGGCACCCAAGCTACTCTGATTATACCAGAGAACACCACGTAGAGGCAGACCACGGCACCTACGATCGTTGGCTTGTGTTTATAGTGTCAACTGCACTCTCGCAAGCGAAGACTGTGTGCGCTCAAAGCTCAATTCTTAAAACTCCTTGCCAAAATTCCAAATTTCACGCTCGTCGAGATTGTATCCATCCTCTGCATCATCTCGTGAACTTGTCCGTATCCCTCCCACGTCCATCTCATCGAAATATCTCCCAGATTTGTGCACCACGCTTTGCTTCCTCCGACGGGTATAAATATCGGCGAGAGCGTACGTTTGGTGACCAGCTTACGCCAGAGAATAGTCGATGAGAGGTGTGGTCATTGAAACGAGAATGAACTAAGTCATACTTGTAAAATTGATAAGTTTTCGGTGGAGATTACGCTCGTTGGGTGGGAGAGTTTGATTTCGTAGAGCCTTGGATCATTGCATCATGGGCAAATTTCTTCAGAATTGCGAAATTTGACTGAACCTGGCTGAGAAAATATTTTACTCCCAGGTTAATAGAAGACACCACGTACAGTTGTTCAGTCTTTGCACTCTCATTCAGTGATTAATGTCGTAGGACAAACCGAAGATCGGGAATGGACGTCAGGAAATTCTTGATCGAGAGTTACTGCCGTGAAGGGGTCAAGCCTAGCCTGGAAATTAAAATCAACTCGGGGCTTGAAAAGCGACTGATGTATTTTGGATGCTTTCCTGGCTAAAATGATCCGAAGTAAGTTTTTATAGACGTTTTAGTTGACGAGTTGTCTTCAGCTTTAATTGAGTGTGAGCTGTAGGTTTGTAAGGGATACTGCTGGCAGATGATATGAGTTCTTTTGACAGAAGTGTTTGCATCATTCGGGTGTAATGTAGTATTCTGCCTGCTGCTTGGACACCGTATATTATCGGATCCAATAGAGCTCAAATAATTGATGACTGTCGCGGCGCAGTTGCATGATATGACGTCATTGAGTTAAAAGCAACTTCTGCGTAGTTGCAAGTGCAAAGACAACCGAACTTCGCCACCCAATTAGATAATCCAGATTATTCAAGGCGTGACTACGGAGCTTCGAACTAGCACACACAGACGAGACTATCACAGACACTTCTCGTTCTGCTACCAAGAATAAGTCTTATCACATAGCCTATCTCATTCAGAGAACATTCCAGTATGACTGGACCAACAACGTATGGTATACCTCTTTGAGTCACTACACCAACTAATGATTCTAGACCTGGGCAAGAGGGCCCCTCTTTCGCACCCCCTCCATTACCTGAAGGCTGGATAGCTCAGTGGGTTAGTACTGCAAACCTTCATATCACTTAAGTCTGGTCAAGATCTCCGTTATTAGTATTAATCTGAAGTAGGATGGAAACTCAAAAAAATATTACTTCGTTCAATTATCGACTAGAGTTACTCAATGGGAAATACCCACACATTCTGCACATCTAGAAAGTAATATGCAGACGAAAAATATGGAGATCTCACAATCTCATGCCCGGCCCACATCGGGGCAATATCTCGATGAGGGTAAGCCACATGAAAGCAGCCAAACTCGGGCACAGGAAGAACCGGGAGAGACAAATGATCGAAGCCTGAAAGGGAATATAGGGGTACCTACACTTACCTTCGTTAGAAAGAACATAGAGCTGATCCAACAAGAAATTCGCCATGAATCAACTCCTTAATGGAGGAAGCAAGAAGACAAATAATTCCAGCAACAGTGGTGGATTAGGGGCATTGGCAGGTCAATTTCTGGGCGGGTCATCTCACAGTGCAACTCAGAAACCAAACAATAGCGGGGGTGGCTTAGGGGCTCTAGCAGGCCAATTTCTGGGCGGGTCATCTCACAGTGCAACTCAGAAACCAAACAATAGCGGGGGTGGCTTAGGGGCTCTAGCAGGCCAATTTCTGGGTGGATCATCCCACAGCGCAAGTAGCAACAGCGGAACTCATCAATCTAACAATAGTGGAGGCGGCATAGGGGCTCTAGCAGGCCAATTTTTGGGTGGTGGGAAGAAACCAACAAAGAGTAATCACGATGCTTCTCACTCTCACCAACATTCCCAATCCTATCAACCACCTCACGGCAATCAACCACCTCACGGCAATCAATCACCTCATGGTCATCAATCATCTCAAAGTAGCCACGGCGGTCTACTAGGTACAGTAGGTGGTTTATTTAGTGGCAAAAGTAGTCCTCAGGTATGTAAAGATAACTTAGTAGATACTTTCTGACATCTATCCAAGCATTCTAATAATGGATTCGGGTATTCACAAAGCGGAACCCCTCATGGACCCTATTCTGGTTCTGCACCACAAAATCCTTATCAGCACGGTCAAAGCTCAACCAGTCATTTCCATAACCCAACCGGCTCATTCCCGGATCCAAATAACCATCAAAACCACCAATACAATCAAAACCAGCACAACACAGGTCAACAACACAATCCACCGCATAGCTCTGGTCAATCTTATGGTATACCCAGCCCAGGCAACGATCAACATTTCGGAAAACAACATACAAGCTACGGGCAACAGCACCATCCATATAACGAAAATGGTCCTCCACCGTACCAGGCAACACAAGGACAACAGACTTCTGGGCATGGATACGGGTCCCCCCAATATTCTGAATATGCATCAACCAATGGGAATCATTCGTCAGGCCACAGTGGTCCATACATGAATACGACCACGCGCCCAGATCAACATCTACATCAGCATCAAAACCACCAACAAGGATCATAAGGCAGCTCAAACTATGAAAACCAACAAAAATGGTGATTGACATTGAAATTAAAATAATCTTCTTAGAAGATAATCTATTGAAGCTATCAGGAGGATTAACGAGAATTGTTTCGCATGCTGTAAGCGCTATTTAGTTACATATTAAAATTAAACAATTTATGCGAAGTTTTCTTATAAATACTTTTCTGATTTGATGCTTTTTCGAGAAATGCCCTCTAACATGCCGACAACCATGGTTGAAAAGAGACAGCTGCCAATGGAAAGAAGTGAAATGTATACCAAAGTGAGGAGCAATGATTGGGGAAATATGTTGAGTATATACGGGTCGACAATTATATCTGCATGGACCTGAGGTACTTCTTGCATTAATTCCTTGTTCCAAGTATAATAGTCAGCAGCAGCATCAAGTTGTAGCAAAACAGTAGATAGTTCTCTGTCCTGATCTGGGGCTGTGGACGATGTGAGATTGGTGTGAAAAAATGCCACCTGAGGATCGCTATTTCTAACGTCACCACTTTTCATCATTTCTGTAACGAGTTTAGGAATATCAGAATATCGGTGCAACTCATGAGTTTTTATACGGAATGTAGTAGGCTGCTAGGCTTTGTTAGAAAGTTGTTATATCTTCCTGAGCGATTTCTGGAAATATGTACAGTAGCAGCCCAACATATTCTCACTTCATATTTTTGACCCTCGATCAAATCACCCATTATAAACCATGATGTTCGACCAATTTTGGATAAATCGTTAGGAAATGTAGACTTAATGTGAGTCCTAAAGGGGGTGTGATGAGGCGATAAGACCTTTAGGTTAATATGACCAAGAGCTATATGCCTATTAAGTGGGACAAATATTTTCGGCCCAACAACTGTTGTTTTTTCGGTGTTTGAGAAGACAGGGGAGATGCCGAGTAAGAGAACTATGAAATGTTGTATCATCTCGTGATGGATTACAGTGGATGAGATTGATCCGCAAGTGGTAATCTATTCCTAACTAGTTAGCGTATCTAAATTACTAGTCCTAGCACGCGATATCCTATTTTGGTAGTAGCCCATATTTATGCAGGATCCTAGACTAGATCATAACTCGAACTTCATTAACAATCTTTCCAACTTAACCAGACCTTACCCTCAACCTGCCTAAGTCAAACGACTTTGCCTATCAAATTTTCTTCCATACCTAACCCTAATCTACTAGATAGTCAGAAATATGAGAGAGGTCATCAGTGTTAATGGTAAATCAATTTTGATCAGCATTCCAATACTATGAATCTTCCAAATTAACTGAGGCTGATTAATTATCATCTAGTTGGCCAAGCTGGATGCCAGATTGCAAACTCCTGCTGGGAAGTAAGCTAAGAGATCTCCACCAAAATTGTTTTCCGAGAAAAATGAATTAATCCCAAAATTATAGCTCTACTGCCTCGAGCATGGTATACAAGTAAGTGAACCAGTGAATACAATACTCCCTCAACACACTTCAAAAAGTGAGCAAAAACTAACATAGCATTAAACTAGCCTGATGGTTATTTGACCGAGGAGCGAAAAGCAGCCGATCCGGATGAAGGCTTCAGCACTTTCTTTTCGGAGACTGGTAAGATTGACGAATTCGAAATTTTGACGCAACCTAATGCAATTTGAATGTTCCAGGTCAGGGAAAATACGTACCCCGTACAATTTATTGTGACCTTGAGCCGAATGTCATCGATGAGGTCCGCACCGGTACATATCGTAGCCTATTTCATCCCGAGCAGATGATCAGTGGCAAAGAAGATGCCTCTAACAACTACGCTCGTGGTCACTATACTGTTGGTAAAGAGCTGATAGACAAAGTGCTTGACAAAATCCGCCATGTCGCAGACAACTGTGCTGGTCTGCAAGGCTTTCTTGTATTCCACTCTTTTGGTGGTGGCACCGGTTCTGGATTTGGAGCTCTTCTCATGGAACGTCTCTCAGTCGATTTTGGTAAGAAAGTGAAACTAGAATTCTGCGTGTATCCCGCGCCTCAAACGGCTACTTCGGTTGTTGAGCCATATAACTCAATATTGACCACACACACAACCCTCGAGCATTCTGACTGCTCATTTATGGTCGATAACGAAGCTATCTATGACATATGTCGAACAAATCTTTCACTTGAACGGCCTAACTACGAAAATTTGAACCGATTAGTTGCACAGGGTTTGTGACAAAGCCAAAGTCAGACTTCAACCGCTAACTCAAACAAGTGGTTTCTTCTATCACGGCTTCATTACGATTTGATGGCTCACTCAATGTCGATCTAAACGAGTTTCAGACGAATCTTGTTCCCTACCCACGCATTCATTTTCCTCTAGTTGCTTACGCTCCTATCACTTCCACAGCAAAGTCTCAGCATGAATCGAACCATGTCAGTACAATTTCCTCGGCATGCTTCGAGAAAAACAATCAAATGGTAAAATGTGATCCACAACACGGTAAATACATGGCAACATGCCTGTTATACCGTGGTGATGTTGTCCCTAACTTAGTCCATGCTGCCGTCGCATCGTTAAAGGCAAAGCGTACGATTCAATTCGTAGACTGGTGTCCCACTGGATTCAAGATTGGCATATGTTTCCAGCCCCCAAAGATGGTACCTAATGGAGACCTAGCTGAAGTAAAGCGTGCTGTGTATGACCCAGATTATCCATGTTTAAGCTCATACTAATGAAGAATAGATGTATGCTGTCAAATACTACCGCAATTTCTGAGGCCTGGTCTGCGCTGTCTCATAAGTTCGACCTTATGTACTCCAAGCGTGCCTTTGTACACTGGTATGTAGGTGAGGGTATGGAGGAAGGCGAATTTTCCGAGGCTCGTGAGGATCTCGCAGCTCTAGAACGAGATTATGAGGAAGTCGCAACTGATTCTAACGAGGGGGATGAGGTTGCCGGAAATGAATATTAAATCGCATTACTATCACTAATGCCCATCATTTTAAGGAACTAACATCCTCGCGAATAATGCTCATTTGTTGAGAAGTACAAGTTAATACCTAGTTCTTTGTGTGCAGAGTGCTATGACACTGAGCTATGACTCTTGAACTCATTATCTGTATTTTAGCATCACCCGGTGTCAGTGGAGGATTCCTTTCATGAAGATTGTCGAAGCTTTAGTGTAGCCCGAGGTGCCTTGCGTAGTTATCCCCAGGTAATATCTGGTTTCTTACAAACAACACATAATTTATTTCTTGATTCTAGAATTGATAATTCTCTATGATCACGCAAGGCTTCACCTAAAGGTTGAACTACATGATTTGCCCGTGCACTAGATTTAACTAAAGCCAAACCTTTTCTCGCTTGGACCAACAACAGATACTCAGTCCTCAATATCGAATTTCTAAACATAGTTACATATCCGACTCTATTTTCCTGGAAAAGTCCATGTTCGAAGGATTTTATCCACACAACCGGACGATCGCTCCTATTTCTCCTGCTTTATTCCACAGGGAAGACGTAGGTTGATAAAAGTATGGCTGAAGACTTAAGTAAGATTATTTCTTTACTTGCATAATAAATGTAACCAGATTTTGAAATGGAATATTATTCTGGTTTTGCGAATTCGTCTCCAAAGACTTTTTGTACAATTAAAGACAAATCGACTACTCGCTAACCAGCCATCTCTAGCCGCTCCATCTTTGAATCTATCGCCCGAAGAATTTCGACTGTTTGGACACCTATTCCGCCAAGCTGATGTTGAAGGGATTGGTGTGGTGACGGGCGAAGTCGCGGTCAAGTTCTTTGAAAAGACCAGGCTAGAACCTCGTATTCTTGGTGAGGTACAGTTACAGATATAACGTGAAAGCTCCAACGGCTGACTTAAGCCTCAAGATTTGGCAAATTGCAGATAAAGAGAATCGCGGGTTGCTTACGCCGGAGGGGTTTGGGATAGTGCTGCGGCTCATTGGCCATTATCAGGCAGGAAGAGACCCAACACCTGAACTCGCGTTACAGCCTGGGCCTCTTCCCAAGTTTGTTAATTCATCATCTAATCTAGGGCTCAGTCCAAGCAAAAATACTGCACCAGTTTCCCCATCAAGCACTTTACATCCCCAGGCTAGTGGGTCTGGGCTCATCCGAGTGCCTCCATTAGCACCAGATAAAGCAGCCCAGTATGCGGCTTTGTTTGAAAAATCAGGAGCACAAAATGGAGTTCTACCCGGAGAGCAAGCTAAGCAAATATTTGAACGGGCGAGTTTACCAAACGAAGTACTTGGAAAAATATGGTCCTTAGCAGATTCAGAACAGAAAGGTGCTCTACAAGTGACCGAATTCGTTATTGCAATGCATTTGCTTGCTTCTTGTAAAACCGGGAATTTGCGTTCATTACCATCCGCTCTGCCGTATGGCCTCTATGAAGATGCAGCACAAGGAATATTCGGTAGATCAATTTCAAATGCAACTGGAATATCAAATGTCCCAAGGCAGTCAGGAACTCGACCGGGGCAAACGCCTAGTAAGCTTGATATAAGATCGATTGAAACGTCTCCAAGAATCCCAACTCAGAATACTGGGTCAAGCAATGATTGGATCATAAGTCTATCAGACCAGGCAAAGTTTAATGCTATATACAACACCCTTGACAAATCCAATCGCGGCTTTATCACTGGAGAAGAAGCAGTACCCTTTTTTAGCGAGTCTAAACTACCTGAAGAAGCGCTGGCCCAGATTTGGGACCTCGCTGATGTAAACTCTGCCGGTCGGCTATCAAGAGATGAGTTCGCTATTGCTATGTATCTTATTCGGCAGCAGAGAGGAAGGAGGGATGGGAGATCATCCCTGCCTTCATCTTTACCATCCAACTTAATTCCTCCCAGTATGCGAAATCAGGTCAGGCCAGTTGCAGTACCATCGGCACCTGACTTTGATGGCCCTGCTACCACTCTACCAAAATCTGCTGCAGAAGACTTGTTCGGCCTGGATGCTTTGTCAACACCTATTATTGCTTCCAATCAGCCCTCGCAACTTACTGGAGGCTCTAAATCACTTGCTTCTGCCTACCCTTCTGATATTCCTAATACCACCTTGCCTTCAACCTTGAATTCACCTTCGAAACAACCTACAGTTCAGCGTTTTGTTCCCACCTCTTCTTTTGGTCAATCTCTAACTCAACAAATCACCGGTGGACGTAATAATCATGCACAAACTATTGGCTCTCACCCTGCTGCTTCCACTCCCACTGCAGAAGACCTTTTGGGCGATAATGATCCTGAAATTAGCAAGCAGTTGACGAGCGATACAGCAGAGGTGGCTAATCTTACCAATCAAATAGGCTCGCTATCTAAACAAGTGCAAGATCTACAGTGTTGCAAAATTACGCATCAGGAGGAGTTGAGCCAAACAACAACACAGAAGTTAGAGCTAGAGACTCGTTTATCCCAACTACGAACTCAGTATGAGCAAGAGCTGAGAGATGTTCGTGATCTAGAGAGCCGCCTTGGTTCATCACAAAGTGAAAGACAAAACTTACTAAATGAGGTCGAAACACTTCAGAACAAGTTACAGGATCTTCACAATGAGCACACAAAACTTTTAAATTCAATTAGGGCTGAACAGCAAGAAGAAATGAATTTGAAGGAAAGAATGAGAACTGTACTCGCGGAAATTGTACAGATAAAGCCGATATTGGAAAAGGAAAGGCTTGAATCTCGACGGCAGAAAGGTCTTCTGGCCATTAACAAGAAACAGCTCGCATTAGACGAGGCCGAAAGAGACAGAATTAAAAGCGAGATTGGAGAAATTACAAAAAAGAAGAGAGAAGGGACTGAACCAACGTCACCTAGCTCGTGGATACAAAGCGCCGGTCAATCCACGATGAATGCAAACAATCCATTTTTTCGAAGGAAAGAAAGCTCGTGCGAAACTTCACCGTCCAGCTTTGCGATCGCTTCTGGTAGCGCCCAAAATGTCGAAAAAAACCTTCAGAACGTTTTTGGGGCAGCTTTTGGCTCAGCAGCTGTACCGACAGAAGTTCCACCTCCGTTAACTATGAAAAGTACGACAAGAACATCCTCTTTTTGTTCAGTTCCCCCTGCTCTGAATCAACCGTATTCCACTGAGCTTAGTGGTCCTCGAAAACTACCGACAACTTTCAATAGTGAACTGACCTGGAAAAGCCAAAATCCTTCTGAGCTTCCATTATCAGGAGTAAATCAAGAATCTATTCAAGATTCTAATTTAGTCAATGATATATCAAAATCACTGACAAATACTCACAACGAAACACTTCCTTGCGAGATGTCTTCTGGTAAAGATATAGCATCCACTATTCCCATGCAAGCCACAGGCAATCGTGAGAGTAATTTAAATAGCCAATCTATTTTAAATACTTTTCAAGAGACAGAGACCGTTAAAAGTGATTTCGATACCGCCTTTGCTGGGCTGCAAAGTATAAACAAGCCACAGGAGCGTACTAGTAGGAGAAGCTCTTCTAGGTCAGGATCAGTAAGAAATATTAATACTTCAGCTTTCCTAAAGGAATTCCCTCCAATATCTAAATTGGAAAATGAAGATGGTGAAAGCGATAGCGAAAGCGAAGGTGTTGGCTTTGATGACGACTTTGCACCACCATCACCTGGACATTTGAAAAAAGCGAACATACTTTCGGAGGAATTAGATGTTCGAGAGAATGAAAGTTCTTCCACCTCGAGACTAAAGCTAAGTCATCAAAGTCCAGATAGAAGCTCTAATTCCACCTCATCATCTCTAGAAACTAAAACGCATCAAGCTACAGTCGATAATATTGTTTCTGCATCCGACCAAATAGACTCAAAATATCCACCGAATCCCAATCAATCATCCTCGTGTAATGTAGCTACATCCTCACCTATTCCTTTAGAATCAATTACTGCTAGTTCGACAACAGACACGATTCCATCTGCACCAGTAACAAAAACGACTTCTAAACCCCCTACACCGCCCAAAATTCCTTTGGAAAATGATATTGATGAATTTGACGATCTAGAAGATGCCAAGGAAGGAGATGCGAATGATGATTTTGTAAGAATAACTACTGCAAATCAGCCAATTATAGATGATTTTAATCCATTGTTCGATAACTCAACACAATCGGCTAGAATACAAACTCCAAGTCAAGGGTTAAAAGAGTCACCCCCAGCACCTCTGATGCCTACTCAGGGTAAAACTACATCCTCAGTAGTAAATAGTAAGGACGACTGGGATGCTATATTTGCAGGTTTCGATCCCTCTCAGGCTAAAGCGGGCTTACACAACCGAAATGAGGTATTGGGATCCCCCGACTCACTTACTACAATTCCTCTTCGAATAGAAGAAGAAAAAGGGTTGCATACTTCTGGACATCATGACGATCCAATCTTGAAGAATTTAACGGGGATGGGTTATTCCAGGGCTGAAGCTTTGAAAGCATTGGAAAAATACGATTATGATTTAGAAAGAGTAAGTTTTACACTCCGAAGCTAAGAAATTATTAAATTAGTTTTACAGGCTGCAGATTATCTCGCCAGTCAATCTTGAGAATTAACATTTCCAAAAGGACAGACTATCTTCAGAAACAGTTGAAATAAAAGTTGAATAGCCTATGGGGTTTCAGCTGGACAATAACTAATTTTTAAAAAACGTAGGATTTTAAGCACTTCAAAACAAGTAGCATGTAATGGCGCTTTCTGCGTAATAATTAAAATATTACGCAAACTTTCGGCCTCTGTATTAAGATCTGGTAGGTCTGTTCAACTATGTTTGTTCCGACAAGTATGCATGGAAATGACTGGTGCTTTAAGCTCTCTATTGTTATTACTTAATTATGTATATGTAGTTTTAGTTGCAACATGGTACAGAGTATATGCCTGGTGTGCCTAAGGTATTAGTACACCCATAATTCAGTCTACAATCAAGAGTTCAATCGATAAAGATTGGGTCAAGTAACAATCAACCATCGTTTCCAATTAGTCTGCCTATTCACATCTGAATCATCACCCAAAACTTCCTATCTTGACCATAAATATGTAAAATTGATAACGATGCTTGAAATATTAGGCTAAAAGCTTGTGAATTAATAACAATTAGGACAAGAAGTTTATAATTTATCAAACGGACCATGCATGTGCCAATGATCTGTATTTGATTTGATTTCATTTCATTTAGCCCGTTCAGGTACCCTATGGGCAGATGTAGGTATATCTAGCTACAATTGTTACGGCGTGCGCTAAGGATACTGGAGTTCGACGTCTGCTGAAGGTAATTTCTTAATAACTAAGGGTAATAAATACTAAAGAAAGTTACTCGGAGATAATTAAACCAGCGGGGTGTCAGGTATTCAAAGACTGGAGAGGCGAGAGATATTCGAAAGGGACTATTCAAGAAGTCGAGTTGCGTAGCAATTGAAGAAGTTTGATAACTTTAGATGAACTGACTTACGAAGGATGTACCGAGCAATGAAAGATTGAGAATATCGGGTTGTGAGAATCCAAGATTAAAATATTATATAATTGCTAGAATTTATGAAATATACGTACTCTGGTCACTTATATAACTTGATAAGAGACACTGCACAGTAGATGTAAGACATAGATTAATCAGGATTAAATTGATGTCCCACAGTGGTGAAATAAGTTGGGTCTTGGGGACTATTCTCAACACCTGTCAGTGGTGCCCCTACGAACCTCAAGCTCTCGCTGTAGAGTCGGCAGAGCCGATATTGAGCAACAAAGTCCTCACTTCGATGAGGATTCCCAATCCATTTCGCAGTCTCTATCGTCTTCATCTCTCAACACATTCCCCTATCACCATTATCATGAAGCTAACCACTATCAGATCAGATGGTAGGGTCGGAGCTCTACTCATCAGCAACCCTTGATCATGGAGGAAAAGCCATCCGATGAGTTTCCGGAGCGTACCCAGCACCCGATACGGAGATGGTGGATTGGATCAAGTCGGCCTCTAATGTTACAAAGAAGAGAGATACAGCTGATGATGCGTACCTCATGTGGTCCCGGTGTCTAGGCCTCGCCTGGCAGGGCCTGTAGGTTTTTTGTAACTTTTTCCCGCGCACACTAATTCCATTGTTACCGTTTTTTTTGGGGGTAGAAGGTTCCGTGGAAAAGGTGGCCGAACTCCACGCGTAAATACTGAGCAGAAGGGTTATTCATCACGGGCAACATAGCAATGATCTTTCAAGTAACAAAAGAGGCAAGGAGCACTGTACAAGTTGTGGTCTCGGTCAGAGAGGAGCCCAATGTGCTAGGTAGTCTATGACTCAAGTAGTACAATAAAAACACACACCAACACCACCTAAGGTGGGTCTTATAGAACTCCCCATCCACCAAACTGCGTTCCACTTATCTACTCTATTCTAAACGTGTCACATTCCCTCATATAACTGAGAAGTACTCTGTCAATGACTTGAGTCATCAAAGAACGACTACTCCTTCACCTGATAGATCTTCTCTACGACTCGTCGCTTTTTTTTTGCATCAGATTTTAATTGCGTATGCAGCAATCAAGCTATGACACAATATCAAAGAAAAGTACAGAATAGATGATTCAACGTAAGGGAAGAGCACTCATGCCTCAGATTTCATTTGCAAGTACCACTGCGAAGTTATGGCGGCCTTTTCTTCACCCCAAGTCAACCCTCATCCGTGAATACCCACCCAGGGAAACGTCTCAAAAACCCTGAGTTATCCAGACATGCCTTCGTCATCCATTATCTTTCCCCCGCGCAAAATGTGGTGTTAGGCGTTCCTCCGCGCCAAGTGGAGTAGGTGTCCAGGCTACTTAAACTATACCGGAGAACACCACCAGGAGGCGGACCGCGGCACCTTCTATCGTCAGCTTGTTTTTACAGTGTCAGCTGCACTCTCGCAAGCGAAGTCCTGGCGCGCACAAAGCCCAATTTGTAAAACCCCTTCCCAAAATTCAGAATATAACGCACTTCGAGATTGTATCCTTCCTTAGCATCATCTTTTCAACTTGTCCTAATCCATCTCACGTCAATCCCAAAGAACTGTCTTCCAGAGCAAAGTGTGGGCTTTGCTTCCTCCGTCGGGTATAAATATCAGCGTGGGCGTGTATTTGGTGGTCAACTAAGGCCAGAGAAGGTCGAAGAGAGGTGTGGTCATTGGGATGAGGATGTACTTGGTCGCACTTGTAGGCTTGATGAGACTTAGGAGTCAAACTCGTTGGGAGCGGAAAAATCACGAGGTGGAGTAATTTGAAATTTTGCTTCGTGGGCCAACTTCTTTTAGATCGCGAAATTTGACTGAACTTGGGTGCGGGGTAATATTTCACTCCCAGTTTCGTAGAGGACACCGCGTACAGGTGTTCAGTCTTGCCCTCCCACTCGTCGCTTACATTACTCAGTGAATAACAACTGACGCATCTATCATCCAGACACTGCACGGCTCTTAACTAGGCGAGTCGTGTAATCCGATTTGAAGGTTCCACGTTCTATCTATTAGGACATAATATTAAAATGTATAATCCACTACTTAGTTCGTCGGACTTATTGGCAGAGGGAAGCTTGTGCAATAATGGAGGATAGAAGGATGTCAATTCGACTTCTCTTCTAAACACAGGTACCAGACTCATTTTAATCCCTATAGATAGCCCGTGCGGGATCTTCTATTAACAGCAGTAAACAACGCTAACACAGGGTACAAGCAATCTCCGTTCGTCAAAGAAGTTGTGAAGGAGGCATAGGAGGGAGTTCACTACCCGAGGCATAGATACTTCCGGCCTGTAGGCAGAAAGGACCTACATGTCCTCACATAGCTACAGACTTTCTAGGACAATAAACACTCACTCACTCACTCACTCCGTTCGCCAAACACCAGTCGGTCGGGACTACTAATTAACGAGTCTAGTAGGATCGACAAAGTGTATCCCAACACGGAAATAATAGAAAACTCAACAACCAAACCCTTCATCAATTCGAGAAATTCGAAAATTCGAAAATTCATTTTTTCCCTCTTTCCTCCCTTCTCGACCTCGTCGCATCTATCTCTGAATTGTGATCGAGCTCAGGCATTTCACCATGCCTCCAGTTCGCAAAAAGCGCCCCAACGTCAAGTTGGACAACACGAGAGTCCACCCGAGGGCTCTCCAACAATTACCTGGCCTTGCCCAGTCTCCGAAATGCGCGGAGATGAGCAAGGTCTCAACCAAAGGGAAGGAAAAAGCCCTCCCCGCCGTCGCTGAACCCGATACTGACATGATCGGGTCAGTCGAAATTATTGAGGAAATTCCTCAACCATCCTCCGTCCCCCACGGGATTGGAGAATCGTCAAAATCTCCCCCGACCGCGCCAAAACTGTCGGAGAACGCTGCACCCAAAGCAGCGTCAAAATCAACGTCGCAGCCCAAAGCTGCCACGAAAGCAGACTGCCCTCCGGAACTTCGACCCATTATCGAAGCCGAGCAACGACGTGCCGCCGAAACAGCGGCAAATCTGGCCCTCTGCTCCGCCGCCATCTCTGGCGTCGAAGTCACCCTTCTTCCTTTGACCAACGGGTCAAACAGACAATTTGTAGATTCGATGAGAGTCTACCTACGCGCAGCCATCGCGCAATACATGGCCACGGGCCCGGCCTCCACGCCACCCGTCCTCCCTCCTCGCCCGGCGAACCCGATCCCAAGGGCTCCCGACGTCAGGAGCACAACGATTTCCGCCGTCCCAGCGCTGCCTATAAAAAGCACCTGGGCCACGGTGGCCAGAAATGGACTGCAACAAAAAGCAGTCCCAACTGTAAAGGCTGTTCCGCGATCTGCGGCAAAAGCCCAAAATAAAGAAGCTCCGAAGGCTAAAGTCGACAAACGTCTGTTCCTTCGCTTAGAGAGCGATCACCCATGGCGCCAGCTTTCGCCTGACGGCATACGGCATCAATTATGTTGTAGGCTACTGTACACCTTGAGTGAAAAAAGCTCTATACACCGTGTCAGAACTGGATTTGCGATTCTGACAGCGGATAAAAATGAAAGGGAAGAGCTCTTAGATGCCTCACCGAAGTTGTCGGACTTCAATGCCAAAATCGAGGAAGCCTCCAACCTTGTTGCCTTTCGGATCGCGAATGTTCCAGCGACTATAAAATTAATCAACCGTATTGAGACGGTCGATGCCGGTAGGATCTCACTGGAGATTTACCGCAAAACACAACGACGTCCATGCCAGGTGCGACCGCAAGGGACATGTCGTCCTGGAGCGCCATACAGAAACTGGTATGCCCTTTTCAACCGGGACTCCGCCCCTCGTGCGGGCTTCCGAATACTCGACGAGTCCGGAGCGGCTACAAAGATCCAGCCTCGTCGCCAAATTGAACAGTGCAAACGCTGTTTGGGCTTCCACGCCACCCGTGGTTGCTCCCGCGCCCCAGCGTGCTGGAACTGCGGATCAAACATGCACTCGGAAGCCGAGTGCAAGGCCCTCACAAAATGTCGCAACTGTGGGGGACCCCACCGATCGGATTCCCGGGACTGCAAATTCAGACCCAGAAAGTCTGGACCGGTGACCAAAGAGCAGC